TAAGACTGTTGCAGAGGAGGGAGCAATGAGAGATTGTAGAGGCGGAGCAGCTTCTGCAGCTCCATCAGCCCTCTTGTTGAGCCGTTTGGACAGAAATAATTGGAAAATCCTGACGGCTGTTGGCACCAAAGTGCACATAAAACACTCCATGTTGCACCTTCGGGGGGTGAGGGGGAGGCTTTTGTTCCGAGGTGAAGCGGGAGGTGATTTTGGTAGGCCTCATTTATATCTCACTACAACACAGTGTAGTTTAGGGTTTGGAATGAAATACATGACAGTCCACTCAACTTCGCCCTGTACACTGTCTATTGTCAGAGCAGTTTCAGAGCAGTCAACTATAACTACTATAGTGCCGTTTCAGAGCAAACCTTCTCCCAGATTATGACAAGAGTCAGTAAGTGCTCCTTCACAAGTCCACTACCAGCTCATCTTTTAATGATGCAGAGCTGCTGACTCGATTACACCTCAACGTGAGGCTGTATTTTTAAAACCAGATGTTCTCTTGTGTAAAGAAATACAAACTAGTTGCCCAATTAACTTGTTCACAAAGCAACACAAATATCTGCCAATATTTTTCAAAATGTACTGTTCTGAAAAATAGAAAGGCGTGTTAATGCAATTCCATTATTTGTCTAACCAACAGTCAAAACCCGAGAAATATAAGATATCACACAAAAGAGAGATTGAGAAGATTTAACCAGAGTATGATTGACATTTTTGTAACTTCAAATAAGAATAGTTACCTAAGATTTTTCAGTATAGATTTTTTATTTATTGACAATTTGTTTCATCCCTAACAAAATGACCGTTAAAAATAACAAAAATGTCATCCTGACTCACTTCAAACTTATATAAACCGAAAAAAAACAGAGGTAGCCAAAATAAACAAATATTGTTTTTTTTATAGATAATGACCAGATTTACCGTGTTATTTTCTTAAAGGTCCCATGTCAGGCCTTTCCGGATATTACCCGTCTCCTTGTGTGTTATGAAGGTTTTTATGCATGTAAACGGTCTGCAAAGTCACAAACCCTCAAAGTACACCCTGTAGCGAGTAAAACTCTAACACCGAAAATACCTGTCTATACTGCCCCAGAACGCCTCGTTGGAGATTTCTCTTTTTCTTCCTGGGTATAGTGACGTGCCCATACCCAAATGGACCCATTGGTCCAAATGGACCAATCCGTGGAGCTTTACGTTACGTCCACGGAGCCGTTACGTTAAGTCCGTGGATTGGTCCTAATTGACCAATCCGCGGACTTCCTCACACACACAGTCACACACACTCAATCTTTTGCAGCCAGGCTGCGGGTGTGTGTGTGTGTGTTCGGGCTGGGTTTTGCTGTGTCTCGCTGTCTCACAGACGGCCACTGGGCTCATAGGGAGGGGGGGGCAGGAGCTCCAACAAGCCGTTTAGGACAGAGAGTGAATACACATACTATAAAACTGTAAAATTGCACAATATAAATCTATTTTAGTAGACCTCAACAATGGAATTATGATCAGTAGAAATGGCCATGACATTTAAGCAATATTAATTTGAGTATGCTAATTTAAAGATAGTGGGCTGTTGGCTGTGAGATTTCATTGTTTGTTGTAGATATACAAACATGTATTCTAAACTGCTAAATGAGTGGGTTTAGTTTTACATGACGCTCATGCTTTTAGTAGTTTGAATAATTTGGTTCTTCCATAAACACATAACAGTTCATTTGAATAATTTTAGAAATGTTCAATGTTTTAATAAAGCCATTTTCTCCACAGGATGACGTTGACAATCATATTTGAATAGAGATTGGTGCCACAAACGCACAGCCTCTTTACTCCTCCTCCCCACGCATCCCAAATAACAGAGGCATCATATAAGAAATCCTGGAGGTGGCATGACGCAGAGCAGATAACTAGACCATTAGATAACCATACAGCAGAGGAACAGCATAGCACAGAAAACAGCATACAAACGCTACACATTCAAAAATACAAGGCCATAGGGAAGAGATAATAGAGCAGGTGCAATATAGCAGTGGTTCTCTCCACTTCAGCACTGAACGGTTTTGCTTCCATTTCTTTCAGTCATGCATACACATTAGCTTTGTCTAGTGTGAGACTTTCCCTCAGTAGGAAACCCCTTATGTGTAAAGTCTTCTAGCTGCACTGTGAGGAGAGAGTGATATAACAAATCTCATGCAGACAGCCGGAGAGCTGGTGTTTGCAGAGGGATGCACCGTCGGGAAAATCAAATTACAAATGTGGTTGATATGTGGTTTTAAAATGCCATCTGAGCACCCAGCAGATAAACGGTGCCATAAATGTTGCCATTACTGGCACAGGGTTAGACAAATCAATATGGGCTTGTTTTATTTTGTGTTTTATGTTGCCTTTTTTGTCCAGGGAGATAGCACCATACCGATAAAATCTTGTTTTGTTGTCTGCCGTACCATTGCCCTGTCCTGTTTTAGGAAGATATAATTAAAAAAGGTGACCCTTGGACTTTCTGGCTTCATAGTGATAAAACCTTACAGGTCACCATTAGACTGCTGTCTGTGAACTGTCCAGATACCAAAGAATCAGAACGTTGCGCAGCACATTTAATTTTGCTGCATTTAACTTATCTATTTCCTTATGATCCATGACCTCTACCTTACAATCCTGACAGAGAAGAGGGCCATTTAGACGAATAAGGACACAGCTGTGTGTCAATGGCAGAGTACAGGAGGACACTTTGCAATGCAACACCCCTCAAACCCTTCATCACCCTGACACCCCCTGTTTCCACTTCCTCTTGTATCACTCTCAGAGTTTCCACCTATATTTCCTTGCCTCCGATTCCAGGTTCTCGGTATTGGAGAGAAAGCCGACAAACCCCCCCCCCACAGCCAAATATGCATCCTGTTTCTGACACATGCCAACTTAGCCGGCCGCACCAGTCAGCTGAACACAGATCCCGTTTCCCCCTTCTTAATACTCCTAACAAGCCTTCACCCTCTGCAGCCAAGTGTCAAGCCTTCCAAAGTCACCTAATGGGACAGCTCTGCCTCCCTCACACAGTCACACAGAAACATGCTTTCCTTTTTACCGTTTCAATTTTATTTTTTTTACAAGAGATGAGATGCAACTAGATACTCACCAGCAGTCACAAGATGGATACCTCATTATATTTGCACGGTTTACTTTCATGGCTTACCTAGCAAGATGGTAGCAAGTATGAAGGATGACATATGGTTTCTGTGCCATTTCCGATTCTGGGATCCATGAGCATAACAAAATGACAGGAGGCAGACAGCCAAGTAATAGCCTAAATAGCATAGTGTGCACAATTATCCCTCACTGTCAATAAGAGATGTTTAGATTGGAACATTTCTTGTAAGCAGACTTGAAAATAGTCTGAATCACCAGAGGCTTGATAGTATTTTAACTCTGATACCATGTAAACGTATATACTTTTCATTATGCAGTCAATACGCTGGCTGGACTATTCAAAGGCAATAAAGAAAGTCTTAATTTTTTAAATGTCATGTTCTGTCCAAAATAGAACATTATATTTGTTGTATATTGGTGAGACTGGGAGTTATAAATCAAGTCAATATTATTGACAACATTAACATTACTGACAATATCAATTTATGTGGCAAAAATGGAAAAAACATTGCAATGGAAATCAGATTGATGTTCAATTCTTCACAAATGTAAAACAAAACCGTCACCATTATTTGTAAAATGCAAAGACGCACTAAAAAAACAAACCAAACACAGAGAATTGCATCTTACAGCATTCAGCGTTGCAGAGCAATAGAGGCTATTTTCTGCTGTTGTGCCAGTTAGGGATGTTGACTCTGTGCGCTGTCTCCCACCTGTCATAATACCAAACAGAAAAGGGCCAAGGCCACCAAAAGGACACGGCAAAAGAGCAGCAGGAGGGACACAGCTCATCCATTTGAATTGGACACAACCCAAACATATCAAGGACGCGGATCGAGCTCTCTTCCTTCCATCAGGCACATCCTCTGTTCCACCTCTTTGTACTCAAAGTTAAGACAGACAGCACTTGCAATCAGCTAATTATTTTTCATAATATAGATCTAAATATTATTAAATCCAAGAAAGAAAAATACGTTTTAGGCCATGTTTTGGACACTGGGAAACATTACCTTTCCAATGCCCCTCTGTTCAGTTTTGAACCATGCACGAGTGTGAGTCATATGAAGCAGGCTTTGATAAACATGTGAATCAGCCATGATTCATCGTAAAAGCAGGCCACCCCAAGCTAAATAATTGACAGTCACTTTTTTTTTTAAATAAAAAAAAAAAAATCCTACTTCTATATCAGCACTGCAAACAGGTTACTTTCATTGTTCCACAAAGCAAAACACATTCCAGTAAACACAGAGTGTACAAAATTAAGAATCAAATTGGAGAAAGCTATTTTGTAATAGCCTACTTAATTTCGCAGAGTTGTACTATGAAAGGGACCTAGGTGTTTTTAGGTCTGTATGAGGAGTCCAATTGGGCTTCATTAGGACTCACTGGAAGAATGTGCAGGATCATATGTTGAGTTACATTAAACTTGTGTATGGCCCCCTGTAACGTTTACTTGCACCCTACAAGTCAAGAGCTGGTGTATTATTATAAGGATAATGTTCAAGCAAAATCAAACGAAGGAACTGCTCTCCTCTGATCCCACCCATATCTGGCAGGCAACACCACCCCCATGATTCAAGACTGGGAGTTGGTCAACACAGCCAAAGGATAATAACAATCTTCAAGAGATGTATTCATTATAAAAGGCACTGCAACTGGCACTTGATATATGTTTAGTGGGTGCGAGTGAGGAGGAGGAGGAAGCCATCAAACTAGCTCAGTGGCATGTCACTTTCACGATGAAGGCCATACAGAAGAACAACTCATGCCTGTTACACAAACGTACAATATGTGAATCAATAGCTGTATATGTGGCGTATAAATAGATTTTACATCTACTAATTGATTGTGGACAAACATACCTTCGGTTTGACGTTGCAGTGGCAACAAACCGTCCACATATATTGCATTGTCCTCCACAGCAGGATGATGAAGAGACCCCCAAAAAACGTCACCATGGAGGAGGCGAGGAATGCCCACCACATACGCTGCCCATTATTGTCGCAGGGCACCTCAGACGAGAACGGGATGACAACGTCTTCCATCTTGGATATTAAGATTGAAGATTCCTGATTTATATTATTATTGATATTGCTTGTCCTCATAGAGCTGTCGCTTCCATGTGGAACGGAGCCACCTGCCTCAGCTAGCATTTAGGAGCCTTGGAGAGCCTGTGCCAGCGTCCCCAGCCCCACTCACCAGCCATATTGCTTGAAAAAAAAATCCCCCTTTTCGCCGTAGATTATGTTCACCCACCCGATGTAGTCTCTTTCAGTATTTTAGCAGCCTATTAATTGTTTATTCGTAACAGCGTGAGACACCCCACACGCGAACCTATCCAAAAAAGCGGGTCGGTGGCCCTTGGAGAGAGGCATTTAAATCCGCAATATTGACGAATGTGAACCGCTTCTTAGTCGGAGGGGTTTTCTGGCTCTTTCACGCCAAAAGCCATGGCGAAGACGGCGTCGTGTGCAGCCGTCGAGGCTGCCAATGCTTTGTCGGGTAATGGTAAACACAGCGACAGTGAAAATGTTAGCAGCCTGTTCTCGGCGAGGCGACCTCTCTAGCCGTCTTCCATTCAGGGGTTCTGTCGATCAGCAGGCGGAGGATTCGATCGATCGATTTCACTTTCTAGCGTCAGTCGACTGTTAAAAAACACAAAGCGAGAGATTGTTTGAATCTACGGTAGGTGAGTGGGCTCGGCAGCGTTGAAGACTACATAATCTTGCGGGTTTTTTCGTTGTCAGTTCTGCGTAAAGAGGACAAGCGCTCGGTTGGATGTCACTGTCTCCATTGGATCCCCTGCAGATTTGGCACGGAGCGGCCAGTTGAGAGCGCCTGTCAGATCCGCTCCAGAGGAGAGAGCGGGGAGATTTACAGGTAGGAGGCGGAGCGACGCGCTAATAATAAAGATGGACAGAGAGCAGTAATACAGCGACGATGTTTATTCCCAGTGCCGACCGGGGTCTGTGCTGCTGGGGTGTATGGAAGAGACCAGGCTACAGTTGAGCCTCTGCGTCTCTGATGCGCGTCAATGACGCACGTCGCAAAAAAAACGAAGAGGCTTTAAAAAGCAAGCTCTATCGATCAGTGATAAATTCAAGAGTTATAGATGATATAAAAACTACAGGAAATGATGAGTCCCCATAGGAATTGTCGTGGTGACAGTGGATATAAAACGACGGTAAAGTGAGGTTACTTATCTTTGACTACAACATGGATGTTATTGGACTGACTTTTCATTAAAGATAGTGCTCCCCCTTTTCAATTACCGAGTCTGTGGCTTGTCATCCATGCAAAATGGGCGTCACTGTTTTCATTTTGAGAAAATAAGTTGATAAAATGCCTCACACTCACACACACACAACCACACACAAACATGCAGACACAGGGAGTGTTATGAATGTCCTTACCGGTCAATTACTGTAATATGCTTACACTTTTAGCACACATATTAGGTAAAAAAACAGGTGTGGATTGGTGATGACGGAGAGGCATGACTACAAGTCGTTTATGGCTACACACAGATGCCCCTTAAGTAGTCAGCCACACCAATGGAAATGGGGAAGCAGCTGGCATGGAGGCCCTGAATAACCAGTGACCCCTGTGCACCAGAGCAGCCAGGTGCACACAGCCACCTGTGTCCCAAGGCTCCAGACCTCTTGGTGATTACAAAAAAAAACACTAATCCTTGAGTTCTTCAATTGAGTGACAGTGATATTAAAGGCTACTAGCCCTTCTGCAGTATGTATGACTTGATGTTGATGCAACATGATAACACATATCAACAATAATATACCTATATAATATTTATGACGTTTGAAATTATGAGACCTCTCAAGCACAGGTCATTTGAAAAGTAAACATGCCTGAAATGTGAATATGTGATGTGTATTCTCGGAGGATTATTTATTGTGTAAGGAATGAAGCACGTTTCACATAATTGAAATTCTTGCAGATTATTTCCCCTTTATTTCCTTCACATCAAGATTTTTAAGAATGAACCTGCAGCAAATCACCAAGATACAAATCTGACAGTTAAAATTATGTTTTCAAGTAACATATAGCTATAGTAAGATATTTATTGAAATGTACTTGATTTATGGGTAGAGGCATCAGTGAACAGCAGCTGAACAGCAGCTGAACAGCTAGTCTCAGGCAGCTAAGTATTAGGATGGCCTTGAAGAGCAGCTCTGAGGTTGTCCTCCTGCTGGTCACATGATGAACTGTCACATTGTAGGAACATGCTGCTTCTACAGCAGCATAATGAGATATTGCACCACCATTTGTTTTCCTCAAACACTGCAACATTTAAAAAAAGGAATAACATTATTCCTAGAACTTGGGCAGCTACATTTTAAAGCGGGAATTTCCCATGCCTCATGACAATGAATGTTTTATTAATGCTCATCTTTATCAAGATGACAAGCGAGATGTTATATCACATAAAGGTTGGATTAACAAAGATCTTCTCTTGAGAACAGTAACATGTATGGTGAATCACACAGATTTATAAATATAATTGCAAATAAGTTATGCTGTACATTATCTGATAAATGTACAACTACAAGAAGGGAAAACAAAAGGGAATTTGACTCCATGCTCTGTGTGCAATCCATCAAAGTTCTGAGCAACAAAACATCACTAGAAGAGGTTACAGAAAGTAAAAGCATCAGCAGCACATGCTACATACATTCAGTGTCCTAATAAATCTTGCTGGCATTTATTGCCAACCGCAGAAGAAGGGACTTGAATTGATCACCCCCAATGAAAGGCCAGCTGTTGGACGAGTGGTCCAGCAGAACTTTAACCAGAGGGTGTCAGTGCTGACAGATGAAGAGATTAACACGAGAGCAGTCAGGTGGTAATCCCGCAGGACATTTGGAGATGCTGGAGTTAACGTGCTGGAGAACAAGCAGAAGGCCAAATCCATCCCTCCATGCACTGTGATGGGAAAGGCCATGTGGCTTGCGTGGACTACAAAGATCCCTCGCTGTGAGACTTCTCAAGTCAAGGTCAAGTTCAGTTGATCTGTCAGCAGCTGTCCTGTAACAGACACCTTCGCAGGAGAGCTGGAGACCCTACCCTTTTCTAAAACAGGCGAGAGGGTACTTGGAGGACGTTAAGAATTGGGACACAAGAAAGCAGAACTGAACATACACAATTCAGATGTAGTGACCAAACCTCAAGTGAACATCCCTGACCTTTTCACCAACGAACAGTTATCAGGCCTGAGGTTTCTTTAGGCAGTTTGAGCCACTAATGGATGTTTTGAAGACACTGGGTACTCTCGTGCGCCGATGAGGCCGACAGGCAGCTGGAGGGTAGTCATCCACTCTGACATCATGTGCTTTAGGACCTTGTGACCAGTGATGCGGTGCTCAGAGGAAACAACCTCGAGCTAAAGGCACCCAATCAACCAGCAAGATGGAGTGTAGCTACAGGCTGGCCAACTGCATGGGATGTTACTCTCACAGAAATAGTTTTGCAGACAGAATATATGTACATAATGTTCCTACGCCTGGATGCACATTCATTGGACTTGTTGCCAGTGACCGTGTCAGTTCAGGAGTAAAAAAGTTATTTATTTAGTGAAAACATTTTTTTTTTTTAAGACACATTATTCTTCTAAAGTGAATTTCAAGTGATCATAATAGTATGCATGTACAGAGCAGGAATAATAACCAGAAAGGATACACCCATTCATGACAAAAAAAGTTAATTGTAAATGTGTGAATTCCTTCTTATCTCAACTACATTGCAAGACACTTTACAATAAATACATATTTGTTAAATAGTAGGGAATTGGCTGAAGTTGAAACAGAACTGGAGCATGTTAGACGACGTACATCTGGGAGATTGTTTGATAGACATTGACAAGTGCAGACAATTTAGAAAGCATTTGAAAGAATACATTAAAAGCAGTATATGCCATCACATTTTAAAACCAAATAGGGATTAGAACTGCTCTGTTGAATTACACCTATTAAATTAGACATCACCCATTAGATTTTGTAAAATCACTCTCAAACTGATAAGCATCACCTTCTATGTACTTCAGATGTGTACAGCTTAAGAAGATCTCACTAAGAAACCTGATTTTAAAAAGTTCCTTAAATGACTCATACATACAGTACGTCAGCATTATTTTCAAGATTAAATTCCTATGTATGTTTGACTCAATGTTATAATCTGTAGACAGCACGCGTTGACTTGTCACCATAAACAGCAGAACATGATGTATGATTGCAGTGCCGCTGAAGAACAAATAGAGCCCCGGCGTCTTGTAAAGTGTATATAAACCCGAGAGAGCGGCGCTTCTTTAATGCTGCAAGGCCACATCTTTATCGCTCGCTGAGATCCTGGCAGATATTGTCACACTACCTTATCTCAACTCAGAAATGGATGGCTATTTTATCTGCCCCCCGTTTAATTTGCTGCTTCTTTAAGAAAGAAAAACACTTTTGATCTTTTTACATCACTGAAGGACACAGTCACATTTCAGCGAGACATTTACAGAAAAACATTTGCTCTGTGCTCTGCTTTCATCCTCTTCTTGGAAAAATAATAAGATGAGGCAGCATATTGTTAACGTTACCCTTTCCTCTAAAATATCCTTAGTACACAGCTCTAACTTAATTATATATACTTCAATGCAGTATACATTATTATTCTTTCCTCAACATTTTCCAATTCTGACCTTGTTGTTTAGGTACCATTACAAACGCTAAACTATTTCCCAATGAGTGTTTTTTTAGAACAATATAACACTGTAGACAAAAATGCAGACCAAGTCCTTAGCGTGATACAGAAAATGAGTTTTATTCTCATGTTAATGTCTCAACATACAAATCATTCTTCTTAATAAAAGAAAATCCAATCAGTACCTGGCATCTAGACTCTTCCTAAGAATACAACCATTTCACGTTGTACCTCTCTATCGTATACTATCTACTCAGAAAAATAGTAACAATACAGTTTGCTTCTGCTTAGTATTTTAGCCCAATAGTCAAACTTGTGGACCAATTTTCCTTTGAAAAATTGTGCAAGAATAGATCCCTTTTTAATAATTCAAATAAGAATCATTTTTTCTAATTAAGAATAAAAGGCCATCAATGAAATGTAAGGAACTGATGTGATAGATAAAAACGTGTATTAGTTACAGTAGAAATTATAGTACCTATTGGTAGTCTACTGGAAACCTAGGAACAGTTACATGTTTAAGGTTAACAGATAAACAAGTGCAAAACAGAAATAAAAGGATAAAGTTGCCTTAGTGGATTTTGGCACAATAAGATACAGGATATGGTTTCGAGGAAGGGCACAATATCTTTTGCCTTTCTTAATAAAAAATACAATTAAATAACAATGAAAAGTCACTAACATTTAAACAGAGCAGAGTAAAATCCTTTTGAGATTACCCTGCACATTTTGCTTCATAGAGTCTCTTTTAACGAGTACATTGATAAGTGACTGACAACCAACCACAGAGAAACAAAAATAAATTCTTTTTTAAAAACATGCTAATACCTGCTAAGACATGACTTGACAGCCAGACGTTCCTAGGCGTATGACCTAGTGAAAATACATGTAATATATATATGTTTCTTTTTTTCAGTTGTATCTGCATACTGTATACTCTATATATTGTTGTTAAATATTTGTTAAAGAGAAAGAATGATAGTTACACAGTGGTCTGTCTAGCCCTGGAGTGCACTCTGAGGAGTTAACCTGTTGGCTGCTGCTTCAGCCAACCCTCAAAACCTCCCCATTGTCATGCGCGCTACACTTTACTGGTCTCAAATCAGCCTCTAAATCATCTCGTCCATGGTGTGTGAAGTGATGCAATGGATCTTGAAAGATAAACTCTTGCTCCGTGACCAGGGGCTGGTTTCAGATCAGGCTTCTTCTCCGAAGGCACTTCCAAACCCTAAACTGTTCACACACCCAGCTACTATAGAAACACAATGCATAGAGCAAACATCGAAGTGTTTGGAGTCAACATGGCCGTCACTGCTGGCACTCAGGTTCAGTAAAACCACAGCTACATAATTAAAAGAGGTGTGATGCTTTTTGCATTTTGTGACAAACATCACAAGGAATGTGATGTCTGATCCTGGCATTCCATTTCTATAGCATCATATTTATGCTAAAACACGACCTTGATTAAACTGACATTGTCAATACAATTGTGTACAACAGTCTCAATATGTTCTCTCTCTCTCTCTTACACACACACACACTCACAAATCACAAACACACACACACAATTAGTTGTCAGTTGTCGTTAAACGGGTGCATAATTGTAGGGAAACCACAAATGTCATTTGGTACAAGGGGAAGGGGGGGTGAACTTCATTAGTGTTGAGGTTAGGGAGAGACACGCATTCAAGCAAATATTGAACACCTATAGTCGGACTCATCTTTTGACTGTAAACGGACGCTTACAATGCAGCATTACAAATACACCAGCGGAAACCCTTAGGGAAGACTGACTGAACTTTTAACGTGGAAGTTCCAGTGCTACCAACCTGCTCCGAAGCACGTCAGAAATAAATGGAGGCTCTGATTATAAATCAAGACAAAGACAAAATAAAAAAATATCAATAATTTACATAACTTGCTTACTGTAGTGTACCTATTGGTATAGTGTGAAAGAGTTAATTAGTGTTTGGGGAATGGAGATGAGGGTCGCAGCTCGCTGTAGTCGCAGCCAGTCTCCTCTAGGGGCAGCCGAGTGGAGTCCACAGGACTTTACTTTGTTCTTGATCAACTATAGTCATGATCTGAGTGCAAATGTAGGGGAGGGTGCCGCCTTGGACGATACCTGAAAACAAAAAGGTAATGTTATATACAGAAAGTCGACTGACACATAACGGTGATATCATCTGTATTAAATGTTACGAGTGGATACCTGTGAAGAATTTGCTGTACTCTTGCTCTATCTTCTGCGCACTTTCAAATTGCTCCTTGGAATGTTTTTGAGATACTTTGTCTCGCAGATAAACCGGATCTTTCTGCTCCCTATGGGGGGGGAAACGGGAAAGACTTTTAGGTCAGCGCATGTGAGGTATTAACCCTTCACCACTTATCTTCCTGTTATTTTCATTGTGTCAAATTAAGCTTTCGATCACTCAGTGTCTAATACTGATACAGTAAGCATAAACTGATGACAGTTTATGCTGAAATTTAGAATTCACCTGTTAATTATTTTGCCAGTGAGGGTCTTTGGAGAGAAATCTTTTCTGAAAATCAGTCAAAAATTAGGTAATCCATTACTATGTCTATAGTTTATAGGTTTTGCAGTATATATTTAAAAAATGTGCCAGGAAGTTCTAATGAAGCCTGGCATAACATTTATAACGTTCAACCCATTTGAAGTGAAGTAGGAATACATCACTTGGAATGAGAGATTTTATCTTAAAAATAAATAACAAAAATAACAACATGTTTCAGCAGCTGTTTGGGATTAGGCAAGAGTTTGCGGTGGGGCGGGGGGCTTTCACAGACTAAACGGTTCATGGTGGGATGGAGAGTGGGAAGGCTTATCCTGCTGGGCCCATCATCCACACACTCACGCACTCTACCATGACGTTGTATGTGTTTCAAATAAATGCTACTTACTTGATCTGCTTTGCGTTTTTGTAGCGGACGAATACAACAATTGGATAAATGTGAACGCTGTGGAGCCTTTCAATGGCGTGCGAGGCGATGTCGAGCAAACAGTGACAGCCCTGTATGCAACAAAAGAAGAAAAAGTTGAAACTTTTTTAACACATTTATAACAAGGCGACAATGACAGCAATCCTGCTTTCATTCATGGATATCTAAGATTAAAGCACAGCCGTAGTGATAGCTTATCTTGAGCAGAGATTAAAGACACATTGAAGCCTCTATCTTTCCTGATAAAATCGAATGATAAAAGAAAGGACAGGCTGGCTAATACCTTCTCTGTTATCTCCTTTATTGAAGCAACAGTGGTCACGTCAAAATGGCCACTTCTGCGCTTGTAGTCGATGAAGAGGAAGTCTTTGACGCCACGCTCGATGGCTTGCTGGGATGCCTTCATCACCTCTGCAGACATGACAGAAAGAATAAAGACAATTATCAAAAGAAAGAACACTTTTCATGCTACTGTACAAATCAAACCTCACATTTCTTCAACCCTTAAGTATTACAGTTAATACAAATGTAGATTAATTTCCCTTATTTTTTGGACTGACATCTGAATAAGGTGAACTCACCCAGTATACATCTGCAGAACTTCCCAGGAGACTCTTTGACCAGCATCTCCTTGACAGCATCAGTGAGCGGCCCAAGGATGAGTACGGGTCGTGGAGAAGCGCACTCCACCTTCTGGACCCGCTGGTATGCCAGGCTCACGCAATCTGACATAAAAAAAAAAACATACAAATAAATCGAAAATGGTTCTCGAAAAAGAGTGACATGGTGCCATTGTTGCGCTTCCTGCTGTTTTTGTCTCACCATCTAGGAAGGGGATGGAGTCCGTGCTGATTGTGTCGATAGCCACCATCTCTTTGCTGTCTTTGGAGCTGCTTCGTTTGTGTTTCTGTTTCCTCCTGAAGAAGGATCTGCGGGCCGCAGCTGAGAGCGTCTTACCGGAGTCTTCCTTCATTTCTGTCACACTGTGTCTGCGGTAAAACTCTTGGTCCATCCTAACACACACACACACACACACACACACACACACACACACACACACACACACACACACACACACACACACACACACACACACACACACACACACACACACACACACACACACACACACACACACACACACACACACACACACACACACACACACACACACACAAATTAGAGATAATCCTCTAAGAAAAAAGGTTGTGTGCCTGTTTTTAAATGCCATTTTACAATGTGTTTCTGCTGTATTTATTCTTAATTGTCTTTTATTTTAATTTCTAAAGCACTTTGAATTGCCGTGTGCTGAACGGTGCTATATAAATAAACTTGCCTTGCATTTATGTATACAAGTAGTAGAAACATTAAAAGCCCAAGTTTCTGAAACATAACCGTTTCAATTGTTTAACTATTTTTGTATACTAAGATGATTAAGGTTAAGGTTAAGCATAGTTGTTAAGGGTCAATGTTGATGACATAATACTTTGTTGATTTATTATTTTTAAGAATTGATTGTAACTTGAAACTGTCCCTTCAGGCCCAGTAGAAGTACAAAATCATAAAAAAAGCGTTAGACATACAATAATGCGGACAACATGACTTTGCCGTGAGGGCAAAAAGGACAGCATAAAAACATATGGAAGAGAAGGGACATTGCACATGACTCCTACATCGCAGCAGTATGGCACAGACTGTTGTCACAGCTGTTAAAAACTGTCCTCCAGCTCAAAAATGTATGTGTGTAAGCGTGCCTTGAATTCTCCACCCACATGTACTTGCTGGGGATCTGCCCCCTCTGGATCTGCTGTGCGTTCTCATCTAGCTGCCAGGCCATCCATGTCCCAAAGCTGCCCTTTGGTAAAGACTCATCCACGTACAGGATGTCATCCTTCTTGAAACTGAGGTCCCCCTCCGCCTCCCCCGTACGGTCGTAAAGTGCTCTGTTGAGAGGGAGAGACAAAGATATATGGGGCGTTATGAAGAGCAGCGCAGAACCAGAGAGTGGAGGAGAATAAAGTTGATGAAGTGAGAGAGAGCAGGTGTGGAGAGAACAAGATCCTGAATCAGAGAAGACGAGAAAGGAAGTGTGGAGAAAGTGTATCTATTGACAGCAGAAGCCTTACTCGCATCTTGTTGGAGCCTTGTAAGTCATTCCCCAACAGCCTATCAGTGACAAGCTGTAAGGCTGAGTGTATTTACTGCAGATGACGACACAAGCCCACTTGCCTATATGACAAGTGACTGCGGCAGCTGAGGCAACACACCCTGACAGACTCCCAACAATAAACTATTTTAGAGCTCCTTTTTCCATTCATATACAGTGTATTTCTAATGGCCTGGAAAACCCTGAGCTCTAAAACATGGAACACCTAAATAGATAACCTAAATATGGGGTGCGATTAGCAGCATCGCAGTCACACGCTGGATCTGGGACGTAATTGATTAGATGAGATAGATTCCATCTTGTCCAAAGGGGCTGCAGTGGTGACTATCTATAGCAGAGAGGAGGCTGCTTAGGGAGAATGATTGTGGTCCTCTTACAGAGCGGTTACACATTAACGCCTGACATTGAGCTGTGTGCATGTGCGCTGTGTATACACGTGCATGTACCTAATATAAAAGCCATCTCCTGGAGTGTCTTTGAGTGCGCTGAAGTCATCTGGCCGATGCTGCACCTTCAAAGTGACCGTCTCTGCAGGCTTCAGCATCTCCACGTACACCTCTTCTGCCGTCTTATTCTTCATATTCACCGAGTTGTACTGAAAGGGAAGAGTGGATGAGAATGGAAAAAAAGAAAACTTCACATCCTAAAATAAAAGAAGTAGCAGAGACATTTCTGTGTATTCATTTGCAGTGTCTGTGAAGGGTAAATAGCTACATTTCCTCCAAGCTTTCAGCTGTATTAAAGTGTCGCAGTATTGATTTGTGCCGTGTTTGGGGGGAAGAAAAAACAAACAAGAAGGGAGATTGAAGGACAGAGTGATGCTGTGCGGCCTGATGACAAAGCCACATGGCAATTCAGAATTCTTTGTGGCAGAGAACTAAGTAAGTGGGAGCATGTCACGAATTGTCTGTTATGAGTTTGCTGTGCTCTAAATGGATCATGAACGTGGAGTGAGAGAGAACGCAGCCGAGGAGAGGATCAATGAGGAACAATGAGGGGAAGGGAATAAAGAAATGCCTGCCCACCTTCTGGCAGTGCTTGAGACTAAAGTAACAAAAGCACACAAAGCTCTGCAACATCTTATTAGAAAAGTTTAGCCCTGGGATCACGTCAAGAAACTAATTACAGCTACAACTATTCACTGTCTTACAAAGCTATACAGAAAACACTACACATAGAAAACTTGTTGTACTTGAATAATTGTAAATATGCTAAATATATATAAATGTTTTGCAAGGTATATTGGTTAGTTTCTGAGGGGGTTGTGCATTAAAAGTCCCCTTTTATACTGTTTTTTTATCAATATAGTATAGCTCTCAGATATATACAAACATGTCTCTGAAGTCTTTGGCTCCAAATACCAAACAGATCATTGCAGCATTACCCATAATCCCCTCCGTTTCAGCCCTGTTTCAAAAGTGCTGATTCTCTGTCTGTTACTTTAGATGAAAATAAGGAGCCCCTCCCCACGCCCCTCAGAGATATTTGGTTAAAAAGAACACAATGGTGCTCTAGGAGGAGATTCAGGTGATAAGGTGGGGGGGGGGGGTTACCTTGGTTGCTGATTGGCTAATGGTTACACAAGCCAAAAAATCGTCATGACATCATAAAGTGGCCAAAATCTGATCAGCTCATTTTCAGACAGGCTTTTATATAAATGGATCAGGACAAAAGGAGAGGGGATCTTTGTTCCTGAAACTTTCAGAATCTCTTTACACAGAGGGGACACGTGTTGAGGTAAAAAAAAGATATGAAATAGTGGATTTTGCGTTTACATTTTTACGAAATTCCTACGTCTACGTATGTGTGTTTGAATATAAGTCAGAAAGGTCCCCACCTCCAGAATGAGGTCCCCAGGAAGCAGCCCGTCGGGGCCCCTGGCAGGACTGTCCTCATCCAGGCTCTCTATGTAAACGCCCCGTAGGTTCCCTCCGCAGAGTGTGACCCCCACCTCCACCCCGGGCCGCCGCACCGTCACCAACCGTGGCTCCACCGCCTTCCTGCTGCCCTCAGACGGCATTCTGCGGGACAACAAGCGGTCGATTAGAGAGTTATTGTAGTGTAGGGGTGTAGCATGGAGCAATCATTTCCTCACAATCAACTTTCCAATATGGTGTGTTTGTTGTCCTCACTCTTATTAATGTTTGTTCAGAGGTTTACCTGATGAAATTGTGGGGACTGGTATTGGGTGTGGTCTGCTTGGAGGAAGGAGTGAGCGTGCCTTCGTCCTGTTCGCTGAGTGTGTCGATGGTGGAGTGATTGTCGGGGGTGGCGGCTCCGCTCCCCTGGGGGGTCGACAGAGAGCTGACTGGCTCCAGACGGGAGCTGCACCGGAAGAGAAAGAGGAGAACAGTTTTGCCTCAATCAAATAAAATGACATTGCAAAAAACCTTGTGTAATGAACTTCCCAGTAAAGGTAATGTCACTATTACATGCTTTGTCCACCAGAGATCACGGACAGGTTCATTGTTTTTATGCGGTCAAATTTCTATAAACATACTTTCCTCCAAAACTTAAATGTCTATATAGAATTGTAGTTTCTCATTAGTTTTTTTACTAGTTTAATATGGATGTATTATACTTCAGTATTAGACTCCATGTTCAGCTATGAAATGGACTCATTTGTGCATATTGTGAATATTTAAAGATGAACAGCTACATAGTTAATTACATCTTAATATTCTGCATATGGGTGAACAACTGCTTGTTCAGAGAATTCCTTTATGTTCATTCAGCAGAAAAGAAAGTGTGAAAAATGTATCATCTTGCTTCTGTGCTCAAAAAAACTACAAATGCATTTAAAGAGCACCTGAGCATAAAAAACACAATATAAATGCTTATGTCATTCTTAAACTGAAACACTAACTGGATGATTCAGGAAGCAGCCGGGCAGCACACATGGGTCTAACCCTACAGGGAATATGAACAGAGAATTCTACAAGAAACATCCTGTTACCTGGAGCGCGAGTGGTTTCCCAGCTGGTACATGTGCGGGTTGTACTGGGCCATGATGGTGATGGTGTCACACTGCTGGCCGATGATGAGGCGGGCCTGCTGCTCCGTAGCGTTACGCAGGTTGATCCCATTATACTGACAAAGACAGAAAAGTCTGGTTAGGGAGAACGTTTTAGCTGAGGTGGGGGTAATGATACACAGTATGTTCCGAGTCTATTAAGGGTTTTAGTCTTTAGTAGTACTTGGTGGGGAAGATACTCAAAAGAATTTAAAGGGCATTACTTTTACAGCCATTATCAAAGTCTTAAAAGGAGTTCATGTTCTGTTAAACAGGCGGCCATTATTTTAACATTATTGGCCAGGTAACATCTGTAATCATACTTGCAATTCTAAAGTGCAGAACAACCGTGCTTAGTTGTATGCACACAACATTATTATATTATACAGATAAAGGGGATTTCATCTTGTAGCGCCACCACTGAGTTTGAGATCTGACTTTGAGACATTTAACTATTAATGACAGGGAAAATCTTAACTCTTTAAAAATTCCATTAATGTCTTACTTAAAAACAGATGTGTTTAAAAACAATTATTTGAATTGAAACTCAATTAAAATATAACATCTTTACCAACCTTTCTAATATAGGAAAAGTGTAAATAGTTTTGAAATGTGCTTCTTAGATAATGACCAGTTTATTGAAGGGGTAGTGAAAGGCAACATTACTTAACTGCTCCAACTTAATCTATTTATCCAACAATTACATATTTAACTTAAAAACGCTTTTTATTTAAGCTACTCCTACAAATTCTTCCTTTAGCGACTGTGTAGCATCCACAAGGACAGTGCATGTCCTCAATAGAATTTCAGCTCCGTCAGCCATTTTACATTAAGTAAAAACACGTATTCGGCAAATGCATTTCAGCAAGTATTAAAATACTGGGAACCGTGACAACACTAATGAATACAGTCTTGCATTAAGGACATTACAGTATGTCATACAGAATAAATGTACAGAGACAGCAAAATTACTGAGCCTTTGAAGTGAACTTAAACTAGTATGAGCATAATTATTACTGCTGCTGTATGGTTCTGCTTTTTTACAATGCATTCTTATTTATACATTTTGAAGCGGTAACCTTTTTGACCGACAGCAGGTTGTTCATACCTCCAGTAATTGGTCTCCATACTCCAACCCCGCCTGGTGGGCGATGCTTCCTCCAGTTACTTTAGAGACAAAGATGCCTCCGTTCTCCCCGCTGACGATGGAGATGCCCAGAGGCTCTGCGCCTTTCTGCACCACCACATTGCGGGGTTCTTCCAAGTATGGCCTGGTGGGAAGGAGGTTAACGTATTAATACATATCAGCCAAGAAAAGCAGTTACAGGGTGACCCCAAGGAGCACATGGACAGGGTGAGGGGACGTCACAGTTGAATGGACCAATTTTGTTACAGCTCTGGAGAGACGCTTACTACATAGGCTTTAGCTTTACTTATCAAAATCCTATCTTGTCCAAATATAATATACATGTTAAAGGTCACCTATTATGCAAAATCCACGTTTTCTTGTCTTTTATACATAAACATGTGGGTACCACTTTACAATAAGACTACCCTTATAAAGGGTTTACGAATAGTTTGTAATTCATTTATTAATTAGGTTGTGAACACTTTATAAATCATTAATAAGCTTTTATACAACATGAGATAAACAGGGCAACTGTGACCGGTTGCTTGCCAAATAGTGAGCCCACATTAATCTGTACTGCTGTGACGAAGGTAACTTCGTCACTGTGAACTGACGGCTTCGGGCCTGGTAACTCAGCACTTTAGTGAACAGTTTTGCACTTTATTAGCGTGATTGCACAGTACCGTTTGGTATGGCATATTTGCACATTTTAAATACTAATTATTGAGATAGTATTTATTAAAGGATTGTGTGCACCTGGTGCCCTGTGTTGTCTCCTCCCCCCTCACCTGTGTCTAGTTGCTGATTAGTGTGTGTGGGTATTTAGGCTCTGTTTCCCTGTCTGTTAGGAAAGGGAGTGTGTGTGTGAGATCCTGGTGGCTGCAGGCTGGGCTCACGTGAACAGCAGCAGCAGGATTGAGGCTGTGTGTAATGTGTTCATATTTTAATAAATGCCCACGTTGGGTTATATTTTTGGACGTTCTGCCTCTGCCTCCTTGCTTGGTCTGGGCCGCTCAACGGTCAGCTTCACAACTGCTAAGCCTTATATTGGCGACTTAGCTTACTTTGTCTTCTTCATCAGCCAGCATCCTTGGTATCTGTTGTTCACTGAGTTGATTCTCGCTAGGTAGGCAATATAAGGCTTAGTCATATTGCCAAATAGTGAGCCTGTGTTAACGTATGAAAACTATGTTAGAACTGGTTTATAAATGGTTCTTAATGATTAATAAAGTGTTTACAACCTAATTAATAACCTAATTATAAACCCTTTATGAATCCTTTATAAGGGTATTCTTATTGTGAAGTGGTACCAACATGTGTCCCCTCTGTGTAAAGAGATTCTGAAAGTTTCAGGAAAAAAGATTTGCTCACTTTTTTGTCCTGATCCATTTATATAAAAAACTGTCTGAAAATGAGCTGATCAGATTTTGGCCACATTATGATGTCATAACGATTTTTGTTGGCTTGTGTAACCATTAGCCAATAACCAACCAAGGTAACACACCCCCACCTTATCACCTGAATCTCCTCCTAGAGCACCATTGTGTTCTTTTTAACCAAATATCTCACAGAGGGGCGTGTGGAGTGGCTCCTTATTTTCATCTAAAGATAAAAGATAGAGAATCAGCACTTTTGGGATGCTACAATGCACGATCTGCTTGGTATTTCGAGCCAAACACTTCAGAGACATGTTTTGTATATATCTGAGAGCTATAATATATTGATGAAAAACAGTATAATAGGGGACCTTTAATATAAAAAACTATCAATGGAAAGTCTGATTACTGATAAAAGAATGTTTGCGATAATTTCAAACCTTTATTTAACCAGATTGGTCCCATTGAGATCATAGATCTCTTTTTCAAGGGAGACCTGTAACATAAGATAAGTAACATTTCCCTCCAGGCCTGTAAATTGATCTCCACCCAAGTCCACTTTATGCCTGGCTAACAGAAGAACCAGGACAGGTTTACAGTACAGAGACACTGAGTCAAGTGAAATCCCTTCACATGAAGATTTGCATGAACTTTGTGTGTCTCGGTTACAAGTTGGCTCCGGACAGCGCATACACTTCCATGAGGGCGGATAAGAGGAATGGATCAGCAGCCAGACACGGGGGTAAAACAGAGTGGTGGTGTACAAACAAATGCCAGAAGCTTGAGGCTGAATTATATTACCATTGCATAACATACATACATACATACATACTGCGGACTGAGAGGCGAGTTGACTTGAGGCCAAAAAACAAACATGCATGTTGACCATGTCGTCATCATGGGGCATGGACACTGCATGCAAAATCTGGGATAGAAGTGGGATTTCCGACATGTAGGGAGACAAGTGCAGCCATATAAACATAACACTGAACCTTTGAAGTTCTGCGAGTGTAGATAATCAGGTATACTTTATGTTGGTTTCCTAAGGCGCTAAAATTGTGGCATGCAAAGAACTAGCTATCTGAAAATTAACAGGCATTCTTGTGAAGGGTGAAAAACATCCCATTTTTCTTTTGCATAACGTATAGTGCATATAGAGTGCACAAAATGATTCTGCTCCTCCATATTATCCAGCCAACTGCAGTGAAGAATGTCAACGACTTGAATTTGGGGAAAGGTGGGCATTCCCTGGTTTGTAGCACTGTGATGAAGCACGAACCTGAGGCTCCTGAGAGAGGAGAACCTCGGCCTTGCAGCCAGAGGAATCCTTAGAAAAGATCGGTTACGGTAAAGAGGTCTGGAAGTTGAAGGTTGCAGATAGGCGAGAGGAAGATAAAGAGCAGAATGGAGGACAGATATCATATAGAGACAGTAAAAGTGACTGAGAGGTGTTGAGGAGACAAAATGGGACAGATATTTTAGAGGAACGAATAAAAACAAATCCTAACATACTGTAGCAGCAGCTGCTTCTTTTCCTGAAACAGCCAGGGGGCTTTATGAAATTATTAGGAGTTTTAATAGGATTTTCATTCTGAATTTCAATGAGGGATTGCACAGCTCTGACCTGTTGCCTGGCAACGTCTTTTGAATTAGCCTGAGAGGATCCCTAAGGGCAAACGTAGGCCATATTGTAACAGCTTCAGAAGTCATCTTTATAATAATACTCTGCGTCATTCACCCACCAGCTACACCACTTGTAGAACCATTTCTTCCCAGAATACCTGTCCTATCACAACGATTGCACCAGTAACAATCATTTGATTAATATTCTAGTCAGCTTTTATATTTAACCTACAATTTTCCAATGTTTGACAGCATAACACTAGCACAGAAATGTCATCCTAACTGGGCAAATCCTTTTCTTGGTGTACTTCTTTAACAAATCTATCTAGGTGTATTCGTTTTCGTCATACCTGTCTTTCCTGCGCTCCCCCATCGGCAAAGGGCTGACTGAGATGCGAGGCAAAGTGGAAATGGAGCCTTGTGATTGGCTGCTGGCAAATGAAGAAGTCTCCAGATTGAGTGGTGATTGTGGAGGTGTGATGAGACTGGGACTGCTGCACTCAGAGTGCGACAGGGAGCCTGGATTCAGGGGAAGAGGAGTAACAAGGGACAGAACAAGTCAGAGATTTCACAAAGATACACATGTGGATTCAATATGTGAATACAAATGCAACTTAAAAACATTATGTGATTCAACGGTAAACATAAACATACAATTTATATATATATATATATATATATATATATATATATATATATATCCTGACATCGACAGACACATTGCAACCTGAGCTGCCTGTCATGTTTGTTTCAACACTACTGTATGTGTGTGAAAGCTTAGCCTAATAAAAGAAACACCAGCAGTGGAGGTTTGGGTAATCAAATCTTGAAATGCCTGGAGACTATGTGCAACGGGACACATTATCTTTCAGTTTGACCACTATCTGAAAACAGTAACATTGTTTGTAGTAATAAAAATGTCATAATTTGGTGGGAATCAAAGGCTAAAAGAGACCGAAGGATTGCTGCCCACATAGAAGATCAACACTGGCATTTGAATAAGATTTCCACTTCTGAGGATGACGTGGAAATAGAATATGACATTTTACCTTTTTATGCTGTAAAAACTCAATTTAAAACTTTAAAAAAGACATTGATCATACAGCCAAGTGAGTTAAACCAGGCCTGAACCCAAATCAAATATGGCTAGAGCTATATCTGCCGCTGTGCAGTTTATGATCAAAGGATCTCGAGTGAAAAGTATTTTTTTCATATCAATAATGTATGGAGAGTGAAGTTGTTTTTTTCCGGGTGAGCGCCGTACCTCTGTCTGACCCCAGCATGGAGCGGGGGTAGCGTGGAGTGGAAGGGATTTTGATCCTCTCTGTGCGGTACTGGACATTATTGGAAGAACCTGGAACAGGGATGAGATGATACAGAAATAAACGCTGTGACACAACATCCAAAAAAGAGAAAGGGCACCGAGGCTGTGACCTTTACGTGTGTTTGAGTGCGTGCGTGAGTGTCAGACTGACCGAGTCGTGCGCTGGAGGGCAGTGAATTTGTACCGTGTGAAGCTCGGCTGCTGCGTGACGACAAGGTTTCAGAGAAGTCACTCGTTCGCTTCTGCTGGCTCAGGTCCAGGCTCAGGCGACCCTGGTGTTGTGGGCTACAACAACAAAAAGAAAAAGCCTTAGGAAACACTTATTTGAACAAAATTACATTACAGTTCAGATGTAATTCAAATGATGGGCAGAGCGAAACCACAATAGCACAACATTAATGCAAACTACAGTCAGAAATTATTCTGCACCCTCACCCAAATTAATTAATTTTGCCTTAAGGAAACAGGCCAATTAAGAAATATTCATCATCATTCAAGTGTCTTTGAGCATTAGGAAAAGCGCTATAAAAATATGTATTATTATCATTAAAGGTCACCTATTATGCAAAATCCAGTTGTTTGTGTGTTTTACATAAACATGTGTCCCCTCTGTGTAAAGAGATTCTGAAAGTTTCAGGAACAAAGATTCGCTCCCTTTTTGTCCTGATCCATTTATATAAAAAAAAAAATGAAAATGAGCTGATCAGATTTTGGCCACTTTATGATGTCATAACGATTTTTTGACTTGTGTAACCGTTAGCCAATCACCAACCAAGGTATTCCCCCCACCACCTTATGACCTGAATCTCCTCCTAGAGCACCATTGTGTTCGTTCTAACCAAATATCTCTCAGAGGGGCGTGGGGAGTGGCTCCTTATTTTCATCTAAAGTAACAGACAGAGAATCAGCACTTTTGAAACAGGGCTGAAACAAAGGGGATTATGGGATGCTACAATGATCTGTTTGGTATTTGGAGCCAAACACTTCAGAGACACGTTTTGTATATATATATCTGAGACCTATAATATATTGATGAAAAACAGTATAATAGGGGACCTTTAAATGATCAGCTGACAATATAAATAAAACAGTAGTCAAGGATCTGGTGGATGTAAAAGGGAGGTAACCTGGTGTGGGTGTGCTGGTGACAGATCTGGGAGGCGACAGATGGACAGTTGCTGGTGTGAACGCGGTGACTGCGCACCGTGTACACAGGGTTCCTCATCACGGCTGTCACAGCGGGGCAAGGAGACAGACCCCGGTGGGCTGAATCTGACAAGACACAGACACACCACCATGTTAGAGAGCGAGGCAGGGATTACGTATACTGTAGGCCAGGGGTGTCCAAACTTTTTTCACTGAGGGCCACATACAGAAAAACATCCGACCGGCTGGGGCCCCTCACTAGAGGAGAGGTATACTGCCTCATAAGTTAAGTTTGCAAAATCAATCAAATGTAGGTCAATTATGCTTGATACTTGAATATACTTTAACAGAATACATCACAGCTTTCCATAGGGTTTCATTTATTTGTTAGCAGCTCATTGCTCAGATTTCTTATAATAAAAGGGGAAATATGAAGGGTATATTTCAAGCTTGTTGTGCAAATAGGTTATTGGGCTTTTTTTTGTCAACTAAGATTTGTTAGAAAATGTTTTCAACTTTAATTGACGGAATTTATTTGAAAATGTAGCTTATAGACACATGAATACTACTTTTGTAATATATATTTACACATATATTTAAGACAAGCACACGTTTCATGTGTGGGCCATCTTCCGTTATACTTTTAGAATTAGCTGAGAGCCAATTCAAAGTGGACCACGGGCCGCATTTGGCCCCCGGGCCGTAGTTTGGACACCCCTGCTGTAGTTCATGCAACCATGTGTTTGTGTAAACCTTTGAGCAACTCACTGGGAGGTAGGCTGCCATTGTAGACTGTGGGTACGAAGCCGACGCTGTGCCTGTGAGAGCGGCTGGGGGAGGAACGCAGCATGTCTCTGGGCTCCGGTGAATGCTCATCGTTGGAGTAGCTCTGTGATGAATGACAGAAACAAACGGTTACCTTTTTTCCCTGCGGGGCAACAAAACACCATTATGTCTTGGAAGGAGTCCTCTAACCTTTGCTGGAGACAACTACCATATGAGAAAAATGACAGCATGAACATCCCACAGCGGTAAAAATGAACATTTATCCCCGCTGCCTTCTCTTTTGTGCCTGGAGAGGTAGCCAGGCACGGTTGCCGGCGCCCCAGGCTCTGACTCAGCGCCTGGGCTGGGTCCCGTACCGGTGCAGGAGCATCAATCACAGTGACACGCTGGCTAAGAGGCAAGTCCCAGAGGCATAACTCTGACGGGGCTGTCAATTCTATTTAAAAAAGTAGATGCTTTGGCCCACTTGGATGATTTTAAATGGTTTCATTTTGAATTTCAAACACCTTTCAAATGTACTCATCTCTTTATTAGAGACTAACTGTCCTAACATTGTGCAGGGATCACAAAAAAGATTGTCAATCCAATTTAGAGCCTTAAATGGACTTACTTGGAAGGAGGGAAGAGTGATGGTCTGGGGGGTCATCCTACGTCTGAGGGCGGGGGCAGATTTAGGGCGTGGCCTTTTCACCTCTGGCTCCTCTCCTCGGGTTCGGCCGATGTCCTCGTCACACGACTTCCTCGAGGTCAGGACCTTGCCGTCCAGATAATAGTGGTTTCCGTTCCTGTCTCTTTCTCGCTCACTCCTCTCTCTGCTCTCTCCTGCTGCCATGGCGATGGCCGCCTCCCCCTTACCCTCTGAGGTGATGGTGCAGTCGGAGGCAGAGCTGCTCTGATGTTTGTGTTTGAACTTAAAGGAGTCACTGCGAGTGGGTGGGGTTGGGGGGGTCGGGGTCGATGAAAAGGAGAGGGACTCTGTCTTTAAAGGCTGCGGGGCGTTTGAAGCTGCAGCAGCGGCAGCGGCTACTGCAGCAATCTGATTGGCTGCCATGTACTCCATTTTAGAGGAAGGTGTTTCGGGGCGTTTGAAAGTGTCCGGCTCGAATATGGACTTCCTCTGTTTGGGGGATTTGTAGATGGAGAGCTGGGCTGCTGCTGCTGCTGTGACTGGACTGCTGTTATCTGGTGCTACCGACATACCCCCCACCATCATCTTGGGCCACGTGCCCCCGCTGTGCTTCTTCTCCAGGGTCGTCTCCATTGTGATGCAGTCCGAGGCAGAGACGGGGTCAAAAGGCAAGGAGGAAGGCGCCTTTGTGTAGGGACAGCACTCTTGGAAAGCACTGGGCCCATAACGGCCAGTGCCCAGGTCAGAGGCCGGCCGAAGGCTAGTGGCATGGAGGGAACCCATGGAGAAGGGCTTGCGCTCATCGCTGTACGCCTCGTCAGATTCCCCTCTCACCTTCCTCCGCTCCCCAGAGATGCTACTTGTGCTGCTGCTGCTCCCGACATCAGGGCAGAAGATGTCAGTCTGTGTCGAGCTGTTGTGTTTGAGGTTGCGGCTGTTCCGAGAGTGGATCTCCGACAGGTGAATGCGTCCGTTGGATTTCTCCGATGACTCTCGCAGACTCTCAAAGATGTTCTGGCCCGATGTGCTGTGAGGGAAAAACTGTGGGGAGGACAGGTGAAGGGATGTTGTGATACAATTGTTGTAGAATTTCCATGTAGGGCATAAGAAAGTAGAAAGAAAGGCATTGATTTTTGACAAAGGTGAAGAAAAAGTAGCTCAGAAAGACAATGTGGCCCACCTTCATGAGAGAGAGGCTGAGAGAGTCCCTGCAGCTCCTCAGCAGAGCCTCACACTCCGTCACAGATTTGTTATCCAGAGCAATGCCATTTATCTGGGGAGAAGAAAAAGACATTGGAAGTGAGGACAGGTCCTTGAGCACTAAAGTAAACTATGCTAACCTTTTTGAGATTCCTCTTAGGTGTGTGTAGGCTTTATTGGCAGTACTCTAAATGTAGATGAACAAACACATTCAGGTGTCATATCTCGTGAACATGAGATTGCCTGGGGCCCGAGATGTATCTCACCTACTGCGAATGAGGTAACCACGAGAAATCTAGGCTGCTATTTCAGTCTGAAGAACCCTCACACAGCAATCTGCACATTTCCATCACAAAAGGCTAAATTTGAGGATTTTTCTTAAGCCATCAGAGATATTAAAGTAGAAAGTGGCGCAATACATATCATGACTAAAATAAGCTAATGCACAAACCTTTACCAACTTGGATTCATTTCATCGAGCATCTAAGCTCACCTCTGAGTTCAGCTGCTGACATTTAATTGCATCCCATGCATATTTCATTTTCATCGCAGGTTCAGCACTCTTCATTTTGCAAACACAATTAAGCATTTAATATGTTGTTTACAACCCGATACACTGATGTGATTAACATTAACAAGGGCATGATCAAATACGATACTCCTCCACGATAGAGATCTCTTAAGGCATGTATATGTACTTACCATTGCTAATGGCTGCTGAGCTATCATCTGGCATATCACTTCCCTGGCTTACGAGACTGCACTGCTAAATGTTGAGCAGAGATATCCAAGTGCTACGGGAATTAAAGGTTATGCAAAGGTGTCATGCTTACATTTAAACTAGCAGGGGAGTTATGCTAATCTCAAAAGACATGGTCACTTTTCAAAGATAAGACACTGATGCATATTTTAGTTTCTGTCACTTGTTCCCTAAAGTGTGAGTATGTTGCAGCTGTGTGTAGGAGAGGTAACATTGCTCCATGTAGCCCTGTTGAGCGGCAGGTTTTTGAGGATTTAATCAAAAGCAGGAGACTTTCTACTTCACATACTCGACCAAATCCCACTTTATCTGGTTTGGAGTGTGGATTATAGAATAGAACGAGGCCAGAATTAGAAAGCTAAAGGTACCTATGTGAGCTGAGGTGCGGTGTGTGTGGAAGGAAGGGGTTTCAAAATAATAATTGTTTTATTATCTTTTATTAAAGCCAAGACTCACAGCGATCAGTCTGTCTCCAACTGTGAGAGAACCTTCCCTGGCTGCTGGACTGCCCTGAACGAGTGCTGTGACGAACACACCGCTCTCCAGACCGATACCGCTGTCTAGAAATGGGGTAATAAACAGGAAAATATGATATAACACTGAAGCATTAACAAGGCATAGTAATAAAAAAGACAAAGCAAGCTCTGGAATATAACACTAATATACCTTTGTGTCCCACAAGGTTGATGTGGACAGGAGTGGCGAGCCTTCCTCCTAGAGACTTTCTTCTTCGTACCACCATGTTGATCAACCCGCCGCCATTAAGCACGGCCTTCACCACCTGCTTCCTGTCCTTATTGGTCAGGTCCATGTCATTAATCTTCAACAACCAATCATTCACTCTGGAAACACAAGAGGATAAATGGTAAGGGGTTTAAAAAGCGACTGGTCCGGAAAATGAAAAAGGAGAGTTTCGTGAGACAGCTCATACCTTAACCTTCCATCTGCGATACTTCCTTTGTCCACCCTTGTAACAAATATTCCATAATCTCCTGGTAAATACGGATCATTTACCCCCTCTGCGATATCAAATCCAAGTGCCTTCAAATCCATGTCGTCCTGTAAGACGGAATAATATAAAATGTCAGTATACTCCATTTTGACAAATGTATTTAAATGTCATCAAGTGGTTTTAGTCCTTAGAGCTCCACTGGCTCTCACCCTCCGTCACGCTCAGTAACAAGACTCTTACCCTGTCCTTTTCAAACTCCACCACCTCTGTCTCCCACTCCAGGGAGTCCGTGTCGATGGCAGAGTCGTGAGAGCTGTGGGCCATTAGCTGACAGAAGCGAGCCTCCTTCTCCAGCTGGCTCTCCATCTTCTCCCTTAACAGAACAAGACATAGCACACAGAGTCAGAGGTCAGTCACATGAGGATGGATGGGCAGAGACAACAGAAACAATGAATCACACAGAACCAGTCTGTATACTGGACAATATTTGTCAAAACAAAAGCATACTGTTCTTCTGCTTGGAATACAATGACAGTGTGCGTCTCTGGATGTAGAATACAACTTGAATTAAGGGGGTATTATCTTAAGGAATAATTTAATATGCAGAAGCACACATGTTTTGACCTTATTTAATGTGGAATTGGGCTCAAACTTAAAAAAATAAAGTTGTGTCCCTTTTCGGGCTGGTAAAGACATTCTGTTTTGTGGTTTAGGGAATAAAATCTATTTTTACTGGTGAGAAAACTAAAAGTAGAATGCAAACAATGGCCATTTGTCAGTAAGATATATGGTGTCCTACGGAGGCATGCCTTAAGGGTAGCTGTGACATTAAAACCTACATAGAGGATTAACGAAAAAAACGCATTGGCGAGCACTGCATGCTCCATCAATGCTTTGTCTTAAATGGCAATGTCATATTCACTTTAGCCAGCAGAGGGAGCTTTTACATGCAATATAAACACATTCATATGCAGGGCGATGGGGCCAGTGAGAAACCAATTGTGTATGTGTGTCCAAAACACTGGCGCTTTTCGGGATTACACTTTTAATCCGGGCGTGTGGAAATGGTGCCAGACAAACAACGGAGCTCCATGCTGTCTCTGAAGGCAGAATATCACAGTTTACGCCCCGCCACACACACAGTACAACAGCTTATAGAGACAAAGGCGGAACGACAGACCAAGTTGGCTGAGTAGAGGCAGGCATAGCGGAAGAATTTTCCTTTGGATTGCCTGCATGAGTTTTTCCTATGTTTCTGAAACCTCAATTGCGATGAGACTCACTTAAGTTCTTTGAGCTCTCGCAACGCATCGTTCTTCTGTTTCCTCATATCGTCCAGGTTACGCAGGGCATCGGCCAGATCGCTGACAGCCCGGTCTCTCTCCCGCCGCAGGTTATCACACAGAGTCCTTTAGGGAGAGCAGAGAGGTGTGATGGTGCCAGGTGTTGGGAGAAGCAGGAATTAGTACTTGTTCACAACATTGTATGTGCCCTCCAAACTTTTTCAGGAGTCTTTAACATTCACTGACCTTATGCTCTCCCTCTCAGCCACTATTTTGTCCCTCTCTTGGAAGGCCCAGTCCCGTCGACATTTGGCCACCTCCGCCTCCTGTGTGGCCTCCTTCAGTTCCTGGGACATGGCTTCATACTGTTTCCTCAGCATTTCGATCTCCTTATTGGCTCGTTCCATGTCCAGGGTGGCCGAGTCTTGTTTCTACGAACACCGAGCACACATGAAAAAGATTAACCTTTAAAACGAATGTGCTACATTTCAATCCTGGAGTTTGCCGTGTCTGGTGTGAAAAAGAAGTAGCCGATTAAGGTAAGTGACCTTCAAACAAACCACAGCTCATCAAGGTCTTAAAACGTCAAGTACGTGTGATCTGCATAATGACTGTTAAGAGGGCCAGCTAGTGGGATACACAGAGGTGTGACATAAATCCTCTTAAGGCTCAGTTAAGTGACATGCTGTAATCCACAACCTCCCTGGATGCACTAAGCGCTTTATCGTGTGTCTAACCTTTGACTCTTGTTACGGTCATCTCTAAAAAGGTGCAGTTTGTTACCTGTCTGGCCTGATAGTACTCTCGCAGCAGCTGATCCCTTTGAATGATGGCCTCCGTCCTCTCTTTGCGAGCCACGTCCCTCTCCTCCCGGACCATCTCGATGTCCTTGCAGGCCTGACTCAGCTCCTTCTGAGCCTCAGCCTTGTCCTTGACCTCGTGGCAGTACTTCTCCAGCAGCTCGTTCCTCTCGCAGATGGCCCTGTCGCGGTCAACCAGTGACGAGTTCAACTCCTGTGGGGGCAAAACAGAATGAGTCATTCATGCAACATGAAAAAAATACTTGAGGGCAAATCCGGAAGGGATCCAACACTTGATTCTGTTTTGTCTGTTAACCAGTGTTCAGAAGTATTCTTCATAAAGAAGAGGCTGAACTATTTCTTGTGCAGTGTCATTTGAGAAAATGGCCTTTGATCCACTGACTAAGAAGAAGATAAGTGGCCCGAGTCACGAACAGACTAAAAAAAGCAGACGGCTTGGTGCTAAATTCCATCCATACATCAGAGAGGCAATAGTTCACTCAGTAACTGTCTCTTAGGGAAGCTGTGATTGATGAGTAATGACAAGAACAAGTTTATTCCAGGAGACTTTATATCAAATATCTGAAAACATATTATTTCAAATGTATTAAACGCGTTTTGTTCATGAAGTGTTACCCAGCTACCAGTCTTCTTGCAAAGCTAAGCCAAACCAACTGGAAATAAGCTATTATTCCATGTGTTTTACTCAACAGGTCTATAATATTATATCAAATGTGGTCAGTTTTTGGACCAACAAATATAAAAAGGATCTTATGTTCCACTTTTATTCTTCTGTGTTTTATATTTTTCACCTTTAGTTATTTATTTGTGTATGGGTTAGCATTGTGATGTTATTTCTACAGTATTTTTGCATTTCCCATGTTATGTCTTGTGTTGTTTTATTATACTGAACTCAGGTAAAACTCTGGTTTCCTCAATAAACTTGTTTTTATATCTTTTGTGTATTTAGTTTGAGAGAATATTGTCCTGATGATTTTTGGGGTAATACTCCTTAATGTACCCTGCTGGCTGTTCACTTCTGGATAATAAGTGCCTCAGCCATAAATGACATTCGAGTACATCTGATGGATTCTTGAGCGTGATACCTGTCTGAGTGCCTCCAACTCCTCACTGGCCACCACTCTCTCCGAGGAGGTGTTCTTCAGTCGTGCCTCTGCTGCCTCCAGCTCTGTCTGCAGTTTGTCCAGCTCCTTGATCACCTGGTCCCTCTCGCTCATGATGAGGCGATACTCGTTGAACACAGAGTCCCTCTCCTCCTTGTACTTCTCGCAGTCTTTGGCCGACTTCAGCTGCAGGTTCTTGTAGCGCGTCACCTCCGACTGCAGCCGCTCCATCTCTCTCTGCAGCTCCTTGTTCTGCGCTGAGGACTTGTTCAGCTCCTGCTGCACTGAATCAAACCTGTGAGAGCGGAGGAAGACGGAGAGCGTTACAGTGAACACGTTTATGAGATGCCAATATAAAATGATGTACTGGCTGCGGCTTGAATGTAGCTCATATCAGCGCTCTGTCCAGTGTGTGTGTGTGTGTACAGGTGCTGGGTCATCACATCCTCTGCTAGATTGATTCAAGCCTCAAAATATTTACTACGTATCATAAGTTATTTTCCCTGGAATAAAACAGTGCTTGGTTTCATCTCATGTGTTCGGTTCTCTTCATGTCTGCAGCTGATAAGGACTCGGTGATATGGAGAAAATAAACATTACGATATGTCTGATAAACACCTGTTGCGACAATATAGTTAGGCTGAGTATTAGTGATTTCGCAGAATATCTACACAATTGGATTATTGATAAATAATCAATTGTAATGTAGATATAAAATGAAAAAACATGACTTTACTGTCTTTAAAACCAGGAGAAAACACTTGCAGTATTTACAATGTACAACATTTATCTGTGATATAATATTGATATATTGCCCAGCCTTTAAGCTGATGAAGGCATTGTACCTCCTCATCGAGGTGGAGTACTGCTGCTGGTAGTGCATGGCCGAGTCTCGCTGTTTGAGCAAAGCGTCCATCTGCTTCTGCAGCCTCCGGTTCTCCTCCTCGGCCTGCTCCAGGCGGCTCAGGTCTGTGTTGTGGTTAGCCACCTTCTCACTGTAGCGCTTGCTCAGGGCATCGTACTCCTTCTTTACGCCCTCCAGCTTGTCCATAGCCGTGTCGTAGAGTTTGTTCAACACCTCTGATGAGCCCTTCTCTCTCATGACCTGGTTAGGACAACACAATTCATATATTTAGGCCCAAAATACATTTCTGATCTACTACTAAATTATGAACCATCCAGATCTCTCAGGTCTTCTGGGACGGGTCAGCTTTCTGTCCCCAGAGTCAGAACTAAACATTGAGAAACAGCTTTCAGTTATTATGCTCCAAATACAAACTACCAGAAACCTGCAGGTCCTCTGCAACACTTACTCTTTGCTTTTAAATGAGTGTTTTTAAATGCCATTTTAGAATATGTTTCTGCTGCACTATTTCTTAATGTCTTTCATTTTTGTAAAGCACTTTGAATTGTCTTGTGTTGAAAGGTGCTATGTAAATAAACTTGCCTTGCCTATGTAATTTTTAAAACTACTTAGTGTCTGAAATGCAGATGTCATCAGGTAAAATCCAACTAAGCCTGTATCTGCTGTGCCCCACCTGAGCAGCAGATGGCATCAATGTGGCAGGATTTATTCATGCAGTGCAAATCCTGTTCCAGCTTAAACTATTTTTTTTTTCTAAAGTTAATTTCAAGAGCTGCATTAAAACCAATTGGCTGACTTGTCAAATGAACAGTTTTATGTGTAGAGTGTGTCCTTCGGAGTGCATTATGCATTCTCTGTGAGGCTGCATGTGTCATCAGTGCAGGTCCTGCTGATTCCTGACCGCTGTGACCCAAGGGCTTTATTGACCTCGTCCACACAGCATATACTGGGTATACACTCATCTTGTAGCTACATAGTTTGGGTCAGGGTGCCCTTTGCCCAAGCCAAAGCCCTTCTCTACTACGCTTGCCCTTTCCAGAAGTGCTCTGTGTGCATTTCCCTCTGCTTGGCTGCTCTGTGTTCTTAACTACTGCAGTGTTCCCATGAGAGCTGTGGGAGACAATACTGCGTAAAAGTCCAATACAGGTCACAGCATCCTTGTGCTGTTTAGAACAACGTGAGGAAGTATTGTTTGAAGCTTCAAAATGTAAAAAAGGGGACAACCTTGGCACTATAAGGCATATGTGACTGTGGAACTATTTGTGTAAAAGCAGCATTTTTCATTTTCTACATTGGCTCATCCCCGAAGGCAATCCCTGACCTTTCAACATCTGGCCAGCCAGAGCACACACTCGTGTCTGTCTGTGTCTGTGTGTGTGTGTGTGTGGTGTGTGTGTGTGTGTGTGTGTGTGTGTGTGTGTGTGTGTGTGTGTGTGTGTGTGTGTGTGTGTGTGTGTGTGTGTGTGTGTGTGTGTGTGTGTGTGTGTGTGTGTGTGTGTGTGTGTGAGGGGAATGTACCTGCTGTTGCTGCAGCCGCAGATCTGCTAGCTCTTTCTGGTCTTGGCTGTGCAGTCGTTGGAGCTCCTCACAGTTCTGTTTTAGGTGGTTGTGCTCCCGAACAAGTTGGGCGTTGTCCCTCCTGAGTGTCTCCATCTCCTCTTTCAACTGAGTCTGTTCACCCAGGACGCGACTGTGCAGCATGCTGGAGGGGAAATCGCACACACACACACAAGCAAGAGGAGTAAACATATGTTTTTACAGTTTACATGCAAATATACAGAAAACTAAATGGGGATCTGTTAATTAGCTAAATGGGCCTTCAAATCAAGCAGGCGATTCAGCAGGTGATGTGCAATACAAATGAAGTTGTTCAGGGGTAATAAAATGTATGGACATTATCCAAGAGGGTGGGACTACCAAAATGCAATTTCCTGCGTCTAGAGGAGAATTAAAAACCGTAGGTGGGAATATTTATAATAATTGTAGGTATTTTACAACCGATAGTGTACCAACCATGTTACCTATATACCACCCCATTCGATTTTTTTTTTACTCATCTCTTGATTGTTTCATTTTTTTTAAATTAATTTTAATTAGCTAAATGCTTTGACAGCTAATACCCTGTTTCTATGCTCCAAACATTTTGCCTCGGCTTATGAGCTTAATAATTCAATCACATAAATGCTTCCATTTCCAGGCTTTTTTTGCAGTGCCAATTCCCTTTCAACATGAGAGGCAGCTGTAGCTCGCAGGGATGTTCTTTCAATTAGGTTCATTGCAACACCATGCCAGTATTTGCTACGATTCCAGTAAAACAATGCAATACATGTAATTATTTCTATGTTGTAAAGCAGCAGGTGACAGAGTGTTCCTCCAACGCTTACGACATATGCACCGAATGTGACTGCAGACAAACATTCAGCATGGCTTTTCTATTGGAATCGAAAGCGAATAGTTGCATTAGATTTATACTGCATTATACAAGTTCATATGTTTCATTAGCAATGAGAAATAGGTAGCATTAGAAACACTTACTGGTAGAAGTCAGCCTCTTTTACAGCCTCCTCGCACCTCTTGAGTGTTTTGGTGTGCTGGTTCTGGAGAGACTGCAGATCTGCCATGGCCCTCATGCACTGACTTTTCAGACGCTCATAGTCGTGGCTGGGTTTGGAATTTGGCCTTAAGGAGAAAAGCAGCAAGGAATCAACCCTCCATCAGGGAGCCTCGTACTACAATGTGCCCAAAAAGAGCTCCGACAGAAGCACGTAAAAGACAGAGTTGACCTTCCCCTTTGATGTGAATGTATAAGATGGGGACAAAAATGTAAACTATAGAGAAATATTCACTAAGCAAAGCACCTTTCATATCATCGATGTACAATCAATTAGGTAGTTAGAGGTTTATAAATGTCATAAAGCAGCCAGTGTCCGTATCCCGTCTCTGCAAGTTAGAGTTACACGAGAAGATGGAAACATGGCGGCCATAAGTAAGGATACTGATGTCACAGAATGTAACAATACAGATATAACATGTTCACACTTTGCTGCTCTGTCAGCAATGAATCTCAGGTCAGTCAAGAGCTGGATCTGATGTATTTAATTTAAGCATGAAGAAATAATCTATAATCACAGTCGACATATTCACAGACCAAATTCAAAGTGTTACCATAAGGGTAAAATACAGTATCAACAACTTGGCAGGCCGGTCAGGATTTTCACCTGCAGTCGTCGAAGGTGGTCCCCGGCGATGCCAACGCCAGGCGCTTACGGAGCTCATCCCTCTCCCTGGTCACCTGACGGAGCTGGAACAAGATGGTGTCCAGGTTGTCGCCGGAAGGCCGGTTGTCGTTGATAGCCGGCGGGGGGGAGGAGGCTTCACCGTTAACGGGCGAACCTGCAACAGAGAGCACGTTACAAGAGGCTAGGACCACTGATCCAGACACTGGAAAAGTCTTTCTGGCAGTGCTTATCATGTAAATGTTGGTAAACTAAAAATGTATTTCTAAAAACATTGTAATTCCACAAATATATGAACAAATATTGCTAGTGACAGTAATCCTACAAAACAGGTTGAAGTTGTGTGATCTGTTCAAATCACACAGTGATGGTGGTCTTTGTGTCTAATGTATTTGTGTTAATACAAATACAGTTAGCTTAAGTATACCCCTTTTATTTATGTAACAGTTTGCATTTTCAGTTATTTTTTTCTATTAGTTGAACTTGTTATTCTTGAAGTCACCGAGAATCGGGAAATGCGTTTTAGTAAAAAATGTATTCACATGTTTAAGTTAGGCATGTATAAATGATCCATTTTGTCTAAGGTTTGCCTTTATATGTTAACAATATTGCAAACACTTGATATAACTTCAAAACTAAAAACTGTGCGCACAACTGGAGTTAGCATGCATAGTATTTTAAATCGATACCCAAGGAATTGTATTCAATTTGTGAGATAGCGAAAGATTACACCCCGTATACGATCATTCATTTGGAGGACAAAGAGTACACCTGCAACTGACTCCGACATTAGGAAACAATAGAGTTCTTCGCAATGCTCAAGGCGGCTGTTATATAATCTGCTCGGGGTTTTCCAGGAAAATCTGCTGCACATCTGCAGAGCATGTTCTTGGATTTATAAGCATCTGTACTCTGACGTGAGAATTTAAGGCAGAAACAGCGGATTGGATTTTGATTTGGCGATGTGCTGCATCTCCCGTACTCTCTGTATGGTTTGGACTTACTGTGTCCTGACACTGTAAAATAAACAGATTCTGACAAAACATCATACCTAATTAAGGAGATATTTTCAGGGTTTGTGTTCTTGATTGAAAAGAGCACATGCGGCAGGAAATCGGAGGATTATGTCACTCTTTGGGCCTTTTGGAGGTTTATGTAACACTGCTGAGTCATTTGGACCTTTGTCAAAACTAGGGGAAGGCAAGCATGGTCTCCTTAAGGAAGGAGGAAGACATTGGCTCAATGTGGGATTTAAAGGAAAAATAAACTTTGGAGACAATCAGGAAGTATGCCAATATCGTCATAAACAGCATTTCAAGTCATAATGCAGCCATGCTAACTTTGTTTTGCATTATTATGGTGTGTTTGCCGATGGTAAAGAACTTCTCCAACCCGGCATGACACACACAAGAGAATAGGCATGTTTGGTTGTTATACATACCAACACTACTGAGGGAGCTGCTGCTTTCTGAGTCCGAGGGCATAGTGGAGAGGACGCTGTATGTGGAACCTGCCAAGAGACAAAAGGCCAAGAGATACATTCAGACATAAAGCACTGATAGATTGATTAGCCAATTACACTGCAGCCTGAATTAAGTGCCTGTACTATGAGGAAATAAATGAATATTACACAGTCAGCTTAATATTCCCTGCACAGCTGTAAGATAGATTTGGTGCAGGCTTTAAACTTGGAATAATAACTTCCACACTCCTTAGCGGCTCTATATTATCACTCCAGACCGCCGTCGTCATTAAACCTCCTTTCCCTCACTGTGCACTCTGCCTTGCTTTGATGTATAGCCCCTGTATGTTTCTGCTACACAGGCAGAATGTCACGGCTGAAATGGGATTTTCTCTTTTTAAGTCAAGCACATAGAGAGAGAGAGCGGGAGAGAGAAAACGGGTCTCTATCTGAATAGCTGTACACACCGTTAAGCTCGGGGATATTTCACACTGGCAACCACAATCCATAGGAGAGGCTATGCAGATGCCCATTATAATGCAGAGTCCCTGCTTCAATGGGCAACATAAACATGGAAATTGTTTTTCTAAAAGGACATATTTGAATATGCTTATTGCAGAGAGCATCATCTATTGGTTGGTACACGCAAAGCTTAAGGAGTAAATGTGTTTGACTGAGGATGTTATATCACACACTTCTAAACCTGGTGTGATAGCTGCTAAAATAAGAAGCTACAAAAACTCTGTTTAAGGTTACATAGTATTAGCAATGATAATGGTAAGCCCAATCTGATTTCCACACATTTAAAGAAAGTGTTATTCACAATAATACATTTCAAACACTTCTTTTCATTATTATTTTGCATATTTGTAAGTACTTTTTTGACCAAAACAAACAAGCATTTGGTCACAAAAGTGTCAATGTGGCAGTGGCCACTGAATAATCATCAGCCAATCATTTCAACTGCATATACATTTGTAGAAGTTTGGCCTCATGATGGCTAAAATTGGATGAGCATTTTAGTTTTCACTTCGTAAGGCACTGTAAATTGCATGAAATTATGAGCCGCTTTTTTTTTGTTTATTAGTTTATGTATGTTTTGTGTGTGTGAGGACCCCGGGAAGAGTAGCCAATGCTCATGCTAGTGCTAATGGGGATCCTAATAAAGAATAAGAATGAGTCCTGTATAAATAAATAATACAATTAAACCTGCATACAAATCAGCAAAGGTTTGGGTAATACTTCTAATGGGCTAAATGCACCACAAACACACGGACAAGTGTATTGTGTACATGGTTTAAGACAGCAGGGGAATGGTAGCAGGCTTTGTCAGCAGCAGGCAATACTTTGAAACCAACTGTTCCAGATCCACCCTTGCCTCCCCACTGGGTTTAGCTACAACTCTGGCTCGGGCCCTCAATGTGTGACAAGGCCAAGCCTAATTAACTATGAGCTCTGTGCGACTGAGCCACTCCATCTTAGGCCCCGCAGACAGAGGAGCGGAGAGAGGGGGGAGCAGGAGGGGAAGGCGTGGAGCAGAGGAGGACAGATGAAAGGAGATAGCCTAACTAAGTCGCAAAAGAGATAAGGAGGAAGGGTGTTTGAGAGACAAAGGGAGAGACTGTTAAATAAAGAGATAGAGGGGCAGGGTGGAAAGGCTTTTAATCTGTTCTGACATTCCCTGATGCTCAACACTTTTAGTCTGCGAGGGGCTCCGAGCACACAGCTTTGATTTCATTTTGTTCCATCAGACATGATGAGAACCACTCTGAGGCTGCACAGCATTAGTCCTCTACAATCAACACTATGCAAAAGGCTCAGGCTCATTTCCATGCCTGCATTTGAAAAGCAACAACTGACTCCTTGAACCCGGAATCAGACTGACGAGGTTTAATCGAGAAAAGACGTGAGCCACTGGGAGGTATTGTGCCATCTCAGCTGAAGGATTAACTCTTTAAAAAAAAAAATGCTACACAGAGTCAGTAAAGCTCTCTGCCAGAATAAGCCGCAAAATGTAGAATCTTGAATGTTGTATTTTGCAATTTGGAAACCAAAACACTCCCACACAAAGGGGGCAATTGTGAGAGAATCTTCAATATCTCACAATCTGATTTGGCTGCGATGACAAGTACATGCACATCCACATATAGACCAGTGTCACCAAGTGCTGATTAGTTAACCCCGTAAACAAACCACTGAATGCAGTATGGATCTGCATGTCGGATACAAGCCAGCTCCTGGCGGTCGATGGGTCAGCGGCATTAGCTTATACCAAACAGGCTTTTAATCATCGATAGCAATTAGCACCAGCCACAGTCAGTGAGGCTGATCATTTGTAAACAGGCTCACTGCATCAATAAAGCAGGCATCCATTAGGGTAGCATAGATCTGGTGTTCTACAGTGGGGAAATCCTCGTCTTTGCCAACAAAAAGTCAGATAGGATAGATCAGACCTGAGAAATCTTACCCTGACAGTAGGGTGCACGGTATGAGGAAAACATGTTAGCATTGTTGAATATGGTGTGACAATATTGCTTGTAAAAAAATAAACAGATTTGGTTTAAAGTGTATTAAGTTCTGCCTTCCTGCTGCTTTTGGTATACTGGTGGAATACCAAAAATTGCTTTGGAAATAAAACAATTAAAAAAGGAAATTATTTACTTATTGAACACTAAAGGTACAAATTTAAGTTACGATTTAGAGTGAGTTATTATATAAAAATGTAATTTTCTACAGACCTAGTCTCTCATAACCAAAAAGAAAACAATAAGGAAGTTTTTCATGATGTGTATTTAAGTTGAAATTGCCATGACGATAAAAAGCAACCAATTGTGCAGCCCTGCCAAACATTCTAGATAAATTCTAACAGAGATATACATTATGGCATTTTAAGAAGGAATTATATATTTCTGTAATAGTTTGGAACACGCATCTGATTCTGACTTCCATCAGTAGATATTCCCTTAAAACAAAAAGGTGAGAAATATTCCAGTGGAGGACCAGAGGCCACAGAAACAAAGGGCTGACGCTGTGATCTAAATAGGTCAGGGGAGTACTCACCCTACCTAAGGGGTTCCACTTCCCCCACTCTCTGCTTTCCCTCCCAATCATGCAATGTGCTCAGCAACCAACAGTTGCTTCAGACAACCAGATGATGTTCTCCAGCACATAAACCAAGATGACACATGTTGCCATGGTGAAACTGGATGAGAGGAATAGTAATTCTGCAACGTGGTAAAAGAAGAAGAGCATAAGAGTTGGGAAGCCTGGTAGAGGGAAAGCCTTATCAAAGAAAGTCTGGATTTGACCGTGGGTGGGGTGAGTCTAAATTATTCATCAGTTCCAGAGAATTCTCTTATCTGACAATGAGTGTCCCCCAAAACATAAAACATGTATGATTATCATCTGCTGCTTCAAAACTCCCTTTATCGCAACATGTTGACGAGCCTTGAAACTATCCGAGCAGCCAAGGTGTCTGTTGTGTTCTAAAAAAATAAGAAAGACAGACATTTTCCAGGGCTTCTTGGTAAAAGAGCAGCAATCCAAAAATAATACTGTGTGCTATTCTTTATTAGTCGCAGTCAGATCCTATAACTGTCAGTGAGTCACAGTGATTAAAGAAATAAATAAGGCACAGACTAAGAGGCGAGCAAAGCCTAAATAGCATTTGTGGTCTTCTTCCTTTTGTGTCCTCGGCCCCAAAGCCATTAAACTACAGAAGCGCAAGTAATAGCAACACTAATAATACGGTTGAAAACTACCCACTCATATTACAGAGTGCTTAAGTGAGGCTGGGGGATGTGTCAGCATTAAGCCAGAGAGCAGAAAGCATCTATTTTACTCTGGCATCTCAGACCACTAAATCCTGGACGCGGTTCTGCTTACAGTACGAGGATGCAGTTTGAGTTAGTGATGCACACATCCCACATACTCTGTCTCTATACCTTGTCGTGGCTGAACCTGTCTCTGCGGTCCTGCCTTGGGTGTCGTCATGCTGCTTCCCTGAAGGCTTCCACAGGATTGTTGACATCCTCGTGGATTCATCTTCTTATTACAGACACATGCATTTCCTAACATTCGGTCTATATGCTGTCAAATGTATCTCTTCGATTTACACACGGCATCTATTGCACGTCTGTCCGTCCTGGGAGAGGGATCCCTCCTCTGTTGCTCTCCCTGAGGTTTCTCCCATGTTTCCCCTTAAACTGTGGGTTTTCTCCGGAAGTGTTTCCTTGTACGATGTGAGGGTCTAAGGATAGAGGGTGTCGTTTTTCTCATACTGATATTCTGAACAATCTGTGCTGTTGTATTTGCTGTAAAGTGTCTCTACTGTAGGCTATTTTTATTATATGTACAGCACTTTGGCTCGACCAAAAATCGTTTAGAAATGTGCTATATAAATAAAACGTGATTTGATTTGATACCTTAACTCAGGAGGTTCACATACGGAGAGGTGAGAGAGGTGAGGTGGCAGGGTGTGGGGGAAGAGAGAAATAATGTCACCCAACAAGAGAGAGTGTAGTACACTTATACATACACAACAATGTAAATATACGATATCATTACAGGTGAAAGTTTCACATTTGACTATTAATATATTTGAAGCTTTATGTTACACTGCTGCTATTGATGCATGAACATGAAAGCAGTACTCTAATGTCCTAGTTGGTCAAGGTGGACTTCATTTCAACGGCTTTGATGGCACTCAGGATGTTTAAACTGAGAAATGCATCATAAACTCATCATATTTTGTATGTCAAATGAACATCTGAAAGGTGCTATGGTTGTAAAATAAAGTGAATGGATCTGCAAATCGGCAGAGACACACAACATAAATGTCCTTGACCAATTCTGCCCGTGTAATCTGGGACTTTAAGTCATGAAGTGGGTCTAAATTCTGGGGAGGCAATGACACCACAGGCCAAGACTCTGGGCAGTGTGCCAGTGAAGCCTTGCTGCCGGGGTAAAGGATTGATCATCTGATTTAAGGAGTCCCAAGATTGTATAAACATGAAGACATCTAACATGATGACTCCATGAGGAAGGAT